TCTATCTGTCAATTTGTTTCAGTTTGTGAATTATCTATCTTTTCAGATCTCTGTTTCCCTTTCTCTCTCTCTGTTGATCTATTTCAATTTGTTCACATATATATATATATATATATATATATATATATATATATATATTTTCTATCTATCTATCTATCTATCTATCTATCTATCTATCTATCTATCTATCTATCTATCTATCTCAGTCTGTTCAGAACTCTCTCTCTCTCTGTCCATCTGTTTCAGTTTGTTTATATCTATCTATCTATCTATCTATCTATCTATCTATCTATCTATCTATCTATCTATCTGTCATCCCTCTGTTAATCTTCCTCAGTCTATTTCAACATCTGTGTCTGTTACCATCTTCTTTTGTTTCTTTGTTTTTCTTTCTTTCTTCTCACCTGTCTATCCGGTAGCTTTGTTGCATAGACTGGAGAAGTGATTACAGCAGAGAAAGCAACATTAACAGCAAGCTGTCTCCCAATATATATGTCCTCGGCTAAATATATCTGTCTATGTGCTATAAATATCTGCTCATAATTTATATGGAGACAAGGAAGCAAGTGCACACGCAGACAATATTCAGTCGCAGAAACATAAAATGAAGAATTTAAGACGCCTCCACCACCCAAATTTCACACAGGGTACAACTGAAAACATATATACACAAACAATAGAAACACTGACGCACAAAAACACATGAAAAGATACAAAATAAAATTTGTTCTCTTGAATATTTTTTCGTATTAACATATGTTGATACTTTTAATGAATGATGTAGAGGTGTCTTTATCCTTTTATTGTATAGTTTCTAATCATTGTGTATCAGAATTGGTGCTCCTTATAAAATCAATCCGTGTAATGCTGATGACAAAATGTTATAAATGAGCTATGAATGTAGACTAACATATAAAAGGTCTCTCAAAAGAAATGTCACTTCTTCACAGATGTTGTAAACATATGTGAAGTATGAAGGAGTTTTAAAGGTGTCTTTAGTGTGAATGAGGCTGCAATTCCTTTTCAAGGATGATGTCAGTCTTCATTTTATGAACATTAAGATTGAGACATGAATTGAATTTAGGGAGAAAACAACCGCCCCCCCCACACACACACACTCCCCTAACACCACTACCAACACATAGACTTTTCTCTTCACTTTGCCACTTTAGCCTTAACACATATGCACATATATAATGAAGATAATTACAAGTGCACACCTGTTACAACTTGATTACATATATATGTACAATTGAAAAATAGATATATTTATATATATTAGAACACACACACATGCACACAAACATATATAAATATATATACACACTCACACACACACACACATATATATAAATATATGTAATGTTTGAAAAATAATCCATTCAAATATATATATATATATATATATATAAAATAAAACCCAAATTACCCCATTTGGATGGCCATTTCGGTCCCCACTGGGAGATTTACCCTGGGACTTGTCAATGCAAACACATTTATTAAATGCTGAATGGGGTAATTTGGGTTTCATTTATGTAATGCACTTATATGCTACATAATAAATATATTGAGCTCCATTTTATGGATCAGTTTTAATATTTTATATTAATAGGATCTACTTGGATTACTTACTCATGGATTTTTTTACCCATATATATATATATATATATATATATATATATATATATATATATATATATATATATATATATATATATGTGTGTGTATGTATGTGTGTGTGTGTGTGTTTGTGTTTCTGTGTTGAATAAAGACAAAGGAAAAACTTATCTTAGCTGACACATTTCATCCTCTGAGGGACTTTATCAAGGCAAATGTCTTTAGTGTGCCTTGATAAAATCCTTCATTCCCTTTCCTTTTGTCTTTATTCACATTGTTTTTCCTTTTGTATTTATCCAGCATTATTTTTTTAGAAATGGTTTTCCTGAGCTAAAAGGGGATACAGGTTCAATTCTAGCTGGAGGCACAATCTTTCTTTAATTGGACCTCTCAATCTAGATCAGTTGTGTTATTAATTTCACTGTTTAAGAAAATAAAAAAATACATTGATAGTAACTAAAATGTGTACCCACTAAAAATAACTTTTATAGTAATAAAAAATATATATATATATATATATATATATATATATATATATATATATATATATATATATATATAGAGAGAGAGAGAGAGAGAGAGAGAGAGCATATATTTTCTTTAATAAGATTTCTCTACTATCCAGGTAGGTAGATGAAAATAAATATACCGTTTAGTAAATAGATGCTGTGTCTACTAAATATAAATTTCTATTAAAAAGAACATTTAAATTGATATATATATATATATATATATATATATATATATATATTACACAGACACACACATATATATATATATATATATATATATATTTACATATATGATTTGATGAAATATATTTATATTTTGTTTAAAATTTGGTATATATAAAAAAAATAATGTATTTATTTTAATCCAGAATTTATTTTTATTATATCAAATGTTATTACAGTATTAGTGGATACTCATATTTGAAATAGACATCCTATTTTTTTTTAAACAGTATCAAATACACACTTTAAAAAAATTGACCGTTTCCCATACAAGTATCCACTATGCTATAAAAATGTATGAAGTAATACATATATATATATATATATATATATATACATATATTTACACACACACACACACACACACACACATACATAAACACACGGTGTTAAATGAAGATTTCCGCCTAACCAAGAAGACGTTCAAAAATGTGTTGTGGCATTACTTGTGTGTATGTATGTGTACCAGTATGTGTATATATCCTCAAATACTCATGTAAAATCATATATGTAAACTTGACAAGTGTATGTTGTATTGTCCCTATTGCGAAATTATTTATTTTCTGTTTTTTAATCAAGATGTTTTAGATTTTGCCCTAAAGGTGAACATGTAATTTTGACCGCTTAAGCAACGAAGGAACAATAATATTTTGAAATATAAAATTTTCTTTTTTTTTTTTTTTTTTTTTAACTATTTTCTTTTTTTACCTTTCTTTTTATTTTCAATTTATATAAAAAAAATAGTTTCTATTTTGGGGGAAAGTTCGTAACTTGAATACACATAAAATATAAAGAATTAATTAAAAAAACATGTAACTCTCCCTAACATTGTCATGCGGGTACACGCGCGCACACACACAGACACCCACACGCGCACGCGTTCCTCTTGTACACACCAGCTCTTTCACCCAGAAAGATGTAAACATCTGTTGCCATGTACCTTGCCTTGTTGATAGGCATGGACGCAATGCAAACAATATTTGCGCATCTGTTGTCAACAAACAAGCCCACACAGTGCAAAATGACAATCATGATAAATACAAATTACTAGACGTACTACTTTATCATGATCGTCTGTAGGTGTAGTAGTAGTAGTAATAGTAGTAATAACAATAACATTAACTGATATAACTACATTTCTAGCATTGAGTAAAGTAGCAGTTCTGTGTTAATATTATTGTCGCTTTCCTTTCTTAAATTCTTTCTTTGAAAGAGAAATGCTTTGAAAGACTCCATCCCAATAATAATAATCAACTACTAACTAAAAACATTTTCTTTTTGTTTCTTACCACCATTACCGTCTCACCACCAACACCTCCATCTCACTCTGTTTTCATTTAAATCACTTTTCCATTCTTTTACATTGCCTGCTCCTCTTCCTCCTCTTATTTTTCAATGTCACTGGACGACCATATCCGTCACCTCAACCTCAATTGTTTAGGGCCGTGTAAAAACAAACTCGATTGTCACTCTATCATGTGTATCGAGGTTTGTTTTTTTCGTTGTCGTTTTTTTTTGTTTTTTTTTTAAGGAGAGTGCTAAGGCCATCAGTGTGTTGATAGTGACGGCGGTGATGTGCTGGTGGTGAAAGGAAAGAAGGCAGCGATGCCAATTGCTGCTACTATAAATAGAGACGAGAAAGCAGCCTTCTGCCTCGATGTGGTTGGCAGCTAAAAATAACCGAACGAAAGTGAAAGTGATAGTGAAAGAGACGGAAAGATTAAACAAAGAAAAGAATTATAAAAGGAGGCTACGGAGCCAGTGTGACAAAAGTGACGACAAAACAGATAATAAAGAGAAATGGTGGCATATAGATAAACACATTTATATCACTGTGTGTATATATATATATATATATATATATATATATATATATATATATATATATATATGTATATATATATATATATATATGTATGTATGTATATATATATATGTATGTATGTATGTATATATATATATATGTATGTATGTATATATATATATATGTATATATATATGTATATATATATATATATATATATATATATATATATATATATGTATGTATATATATGTATATATATATGTATATATATATATATATATATATATATATATATATATATATATATATATATATATATATATATATATATATATACATATATATATATATATATATATATATATATATATATATATATATATATATATATATATATATATATATATATATATACGTGTGTACGTTTTGTGTGTATATATTCATAATAAAAGAGACAGAAAGAGAGAACATTGAGTTTTAAAATTACGTCGTATTACTATGAAGTTAAGAACTGAAAATCAGGGTTTTGTATTTTGAAATTTTCTCAATACATATTCTTCACCCCCTCACTACCTCTCTCCATTTATCTCTTTCTCTCTCTCTCTCTCTCTCTCTCTCTATCTATCTATCTATCTATCTATCTATCTATCTATCTCTCTTTTAAAACTTTCTCTCTCTTTTAACTTCCTCTTTTGGTGCTCCTCTTCTCTTCTTTTCTTTTTTCTGTCATCACCTCTGTCTTTCTACATTTTTCTTTCTTTTTTACTATATCTGTTCGTTTCCAATAGCTTTCTCACATTTTTACTTATTTTCCCTTTTCTTCTCTTTTTTTCTCTCCTATTATGGGTCTCTAATTTTATACTTTTTACTCTCTTCTCTCAAAGTTTTCATTCTTTGTTCATTTACTATTCTCACTTTGCTTGTCATTTTCCTCTCCTTTCTTTCTTTCTTTCTTTCTTTCTTTCTTTCTTTCTTTCTTTCTTTTCCAGTTTCTCTGTTCATTTCATTTTTCTTTTCTGCTCTTAGAGTTCCATCGTGTCTCAGCCTCTGTTTTTTTTTCCTACTTTTTCTTTTTTCATTTATCATTTCTTCTTTTCCATTTTGTTTTTCCTATCTCTTCACTTCTCCATTTAAATTAATTCCTTACTTTTTCTACGCATTTGATTTGATTTTTCCTCAAAATAATTTTACATTTACACACTGCCAAACTTACCATTCCCTTGACTTCTCGTTTTTTTTTCTTATTCACTTCCGTTTTTTCTTTTCTTTTTTCACTTTCCAGTTGTTTTTAACTTTTTAAAACTTCCTTTGTAAATATAAAAGGAAGACATGAAACGAGAAAGATAGCAACTTTATAATAATTCGTTCTCTCTTGTCTCTTATTATTTATATTTTTTCTTGTTTCATCTTGAGATACTCTCTCTATCATTTCTTTTCTCTACCTTTTCGACATAACTCCTTTTTTTTTATCTGTTTCATTCTTCACTCAATTGAATACTGTTCAGTTTCTAATCTAGATCCGTTTAAAAAAAGCCTTCGACACCAAACGACACTATCGTCATCCCTCTTCATTCGTCAACAAGGAACATCAACGTCTTCGATTTAGCAACCGATCTCTTTTTTCTTTTTTGTGCTACATCTCGCTTGAAACTGCGCACTGAGCCTTGTTCGTCATTCGTTGTCTTAGCATCAGGAGTCAAGGCAGTCATTGCCATAATAAAAGCTGAACAGTGACGGGCTTGCCAGTGTGAGTGAAGGACTACACACCTACTGTAGGTCAGTTTGCCCTTTAATTAGCAACTTCAACCCTGCTAGTCGGCCGATACAAGAACCAATGGACGAACAGTTACGTCAATCAGTTTAAAACCAGGCACAGTCCCTGCTTCAGACTGCCCATTGATTGGTGTCAGAATTTAATTGTCAAAATTTCCTCTTTCTTTCGTATCCCTCATCAGTTCTTTCTCTTTTTTTCACTGATTCTTTTTATTTTCCTTCTGTCAATGTCATTTAAGGATTTTTTTTCCTTTTTTTTTACTTCATGTCTTGTCTTTCTTCCGAATTCGATTTTTTCCGTCTTTATTATTCGTTAAGATTCTTTTTTTTTAATCCTACCACACTTTTTTACTTTTATTTTTTAAATTTCTTTTTATTTACTTTATTTTCTCGCTGATTATTGCAACTCCTTTTTTCCTATTACGCTCTCTACTCCCACTTTCCCTCTTTGTTTGATTTTATCTCCATCTTTCTTGTTTTTATACTTTCCAGATCTTTCTTTCATCTTTCCGCCTTTTTCTTTCTTCCCATTTTTGCCGTTTCTTTTTCTTCTTGAAATCTTTTTTTTTTTTTTTAAATATTTATTAAAACAATAGCCCATACCGCAAATTCCTCTAAATGACATTTAAAAATCCCCTGCTATAACCCATACACGCAAATGAAAAATATTTGTTTATTTTTTTACAAAACGGAAGATTGTCATTTTGTTGTTGTCCAGGAATAAAGAACTAGCAAATATAAATAAACTTTTTTCTTTTTCTTTGCGAGGGAAGATATTTGGCAAGTATACTGAAAAAAAGAAGAAAAAAACAGACATTTATATTGAAAATAAATGAGATTGGATGAAAGATTAAATTTAAAATTGAAAACAAAATGAAAGAATGGAAGATGAATCAAATGAATTTAAAATTTCAAAGAATCCTTCTTTTCTATGTTTGAATTTTGTCATCTTAGTTCTTACAAATTCCATTTTCTTAGTTCTGATTTCTTCCTTTCTCTTCATTGATCACTTATTTTCACTTCTGAGATTCTTAATTTTTCCATATATGTTCTTTATTTCTTTCTAACATTGTTTTGAGAAAAAAAATGCCTTAAAGTCTAAACATATATTTATACATGTTAATTATTTCTGAGTCACAAAAATCTTCAATGTAATTCAATAAGAAATTGATAGTGAAGGATCAAAAACTCACTCCTTAATTATATTATAAATTTTCTGCAAAAAGAAATATATTTAAGAGCCCGAGAATGAATATATATAAAAAAAGAATAAGTGTCATTTTATTATAAACACAATATTTTATTATCATCAAATCATTTGAAGTTTATGGCATAAAATGGAAAAGTTGTTTTTTTATGAGTTTAAATTTTAAAAAAAGAATAGTTTTCATACACAACAATTAAAAAAAAGTTCTTTCACATAATGAGTTAAATTATTATAAATTCTTATAAAATTCTGCATTAATACGCTTGAGATGTGAAGAAGCAACATAAGTATTTATCTGGCCTCCCCACTAAGGCAGGATGTGACACAACATCAATTTTTACATAGGGATCCCATACACATACATATGCATATGACAAAGACCAAAATTGCCCGGTGCCTGCAACTACTGTCACGTTGGTGTCAGTATTACACCGAGCCAGACCACACTTAGTGCGATGAGGGAGGTGCTGGAATCCCCAGGACCAAATGCCTTCTCCCATCTAAAATGAAGAGAACAGTTTATACCACTTCCAGCCAAAAGCAAACTCCTGTGCTGGGAAATATAAATATATATATTTACCCATCCTCACCACTAAGGCATGATGTGATATGTCCAGTTGTTTTTACGTGGGAAGCCCATATGCATACACATGCATATGAGCCAAGGACAAAAATTGCCCAGTCCCCATGACCACTGTCATGTTGGCATCAATATTGCATTGACTGCACCTCTCTTAGTGCAATGAGGGAGGTGCTGCTGCAGGTTTGGCATTACTGGGATCAGGCACCTTCTCCTATCTAAAATGGATGGAAAAGTTTACTCCACTTCCAGCCAAAAGCAAACTCCTGTGTCAACAAACAAAGTATCAACGCAAGCAGAGACAGATTTTTATTGTAAAGCTTGTATCATTAAAATACAAATTCTCAGAGGAAAGTTAAAATAAAAACATTATTTACATTTCTTACATCAACCAAATATGTACCTGTAAAACTCCAGGTAAGTGGTTGGTCTAGGATTTGGACTATAATTATATTCTTTTGCATGTTATTTAAAGCCAGAAAATATATTTAAATTGTAAGAATTTTTTGTTTTTTGGAGATAATAATGGTTTAGTGATACAAATCTTACTGATTAACCCATAGCTGGTGGGAGAAGAAATGAATTCATATTTTCCCAAGGGTATTGTGCCTGTAAGTGAATATAACATAGAAATGTACCTAGATAGGTGACTTTTTAGAATACCAGGTGCTGTAAGCTTGGATGTGCAGGTGGAGTAATAGGCTTACGGCCACATCAAGTTGAAACATTCGTTCTTGTACAATCGCTAAAGTTAAGCAACATTGAGCCTGGTCAGTACCTAGATGGGTGATCATTTGGAAATTGTTAGTCAGAGAGCGGAGTTCCAATTCCTGTTGGGTTCCTTACACACAAATACCCCTTGGAAAAGTTATGAATCCACTTCTTCTCTCCCCAGCTATGGATTAATTAGTAAAATGTGTATTAGTTAACCAATGATATCTCAAAAAGAAAATTCTTGCATTCTAAAAATATTTTTTGGTTTTAAATAACCTGTAAAGTGTTCATAAAATGAATCAATCAAAAAAGAAAACTTAATAACAATATAAATGAGATAAAAAAAAAAGTAAAAACCTAATAAGAAAATAAATAAATAAGGTAAAATAATTCATGGAACTTAGACTAAGTAAATAATAATAATAATAATAATAATAATAATAATAATAGCTTCTTGTTTCTGAGTATATCTGTCTGCTCAGTTGGCTATATAGGCCCTGTTGCAGATGTCTGCTCAGGCACATTTGTGTTTCTTGATCATCCAGTCAACATGTGGTTTATAGTGCATCTATACTGAGCACACTTGAGCTACATTTTCTAGAAGAGAGAGGATAAGCTAGTATGATCCACAGTTAATCAAGACCAGTATCCTCAAACCTTAGGTCACAATGACTTATGACTTTGTGACAACACTATCATTAATGGTTTCCGAAAAATTCTATCCAGTTTTATTCTCAAGTCTTGGGTGAAACCATGGTACAGTTTTCAGTCACTTCCAAATGGGGCTTCTTACTGGGATCATCTCAACCATAATGAAATTTGTCTCATCAGTGGAACACTCATGGAGATGCACACATTTTAAAATGTAATAACAAAATGAATAAAATTTATTTTGCACATTTATACCAATTAAAAGGTTCCAATGTTAAATAAATAATATAAAAGTTATTCAGAAACTTACACTTATTAAAACTTAATAGCAAAATAAATACGATAAATGTCTTTGGAGAATTTATATTATGTAAAAATTTATTTAAATTAATATAATAAATACTTAATTTAAATTAATATAATAAATTATACTAAGTAAAACCTTCATTCTATTCAGTTCAGCTGTTAGAATACAACTTCAAAGGTGTGGTTGACCCCTACAGTCAGCTCGGCCATCTATCTAGAAGAATGAAACTCCAACAGGAAACCAGCAACTACAGCACTTTACAATCTGTATTCTAACACAGTATGTGAACCTTTTATTTAAAGAGTGGTTTCAATAAGTAACATTCAACTTTCCACCTTAAAACTTTACTAATGCAGGCCTGAGGGGTTTTCAACTTGTCTTCTGCAGCTGATGTGGGACAGCCTGTAATGTTCATGGAAAAATCTTTGTTTGTAAAGTCAAGCCATGACATAATATGTGATATAACACTCCATCTTCAGCCTGATCTGGTTCTTGTAAAGGCAGAGGATATAGTGAATAGGTAATTATTGGAGTGGTAAAGAGAACAGATCATTTTACCTGCACCCTTAGCAATGAATCATATATAAGAGTTCCACATGAGGTCGGGTATGAGTTTGATGCCAAATATTCTCTCAAAGCATGGTGTCTTCTTGAAGGGACATCCGTTCATCCTAACTGGTGGTAGTTTGGGGTCTGATCAGTGGTGATGGAATGTAACTCATTTTGTTTTTGAGGCATTGAATGTAACCAACCAGTTTTTTTCTCCACTAGGAAGTAATTCCAGCTTATACAATAATTGACATAAATTCTTATGAAATGGAAACAGAAAAATTCATTTTAACTACTACAAATTATTTCTATACATATTTTTATTTTCACCTCAGATATTCTGTTGGTTGTCTTTTGTGCCAAATACAAATGCTGTCTGGATATGAGTGTGTGGGTTCAAAATAAACGTTCTATTAGAAAGTTTTGATTCTTTAAACTAAATAATCATGCTGTGGCGATAATTATTTGCAAAAATAATAAACCTGTTGTATTAAATGGTGTGGATTGTAGGGGATTTTAAAGGAAATAACAGAATCAAACCAACACTTGTATTTGGTGGGTTGGTTGTTTTTGTTTAACGGCATATCAACACCTCTATGTATTATTTAATGCTAAAATCTAAATATTTTGCATGCAAAGTTTTTTTTAGATAATAATTGTTTTAGTGATACAAATCCTACTAATTAACCGATAGCTGGGGGAGAAGAGGTGGAGTCATAACTTTCCTAAGGTTATTTATGCCTAAGTGTATATAACAAACCCAACTAAAATTGGAACTCATCTCTATAATTAACAATTTGAAGCCATTATCCATTACACCACCCACACATCCCAGCTTACAGCATCTGGCATTTCCAAGGAGTCACCTATCTAGGTAATGATTAGGCTTAACTTTGGTAATTGTATAGAAACCTCTGTTTCAACATGATGTGACTGTATGACTCACTTGTATTTGGTACACAAGGGCATATGGATTGCATGTGTTATGATTTAATCTAAAAAAGGAAAAAAAGGAAACAAAAATATGACTTTTTTATAAATGTAATCCAAAATTCTTTTGATGACTTCATGTCTAAATTGTTTGCCATATGACTATTCTGACAGAAAACATGTTTACGACCAGTCATAAAATAATTAAAGTTTATGATTTGAACTTCTTTCATCATACATTTATGACGTATTTTTTAAGATGACCCATCAGCAAAAAATTATCTTTCATTATCCTTATAAAATACTTTTTCAAGTACTGTTGTACCAAAATTTTTTTTTTGCATAGATATTGTTTCACTAATTCTTGAAATTCTATTTATGTTTTCTGAAAAAAAAAAAAAATTACATGTGCAAAAACACTGACAAAGTCTAATTTCATAAGGTACCTCAATATGCGGTAATTGTTAGCAAGGTTAATCAGGTTGACTCCTGCTAGTGAATAGTGAGTTTGATCCTCACAGGGTGCTTCATGCAAAATTCAACATTAAATAACCCAACAAAGGCTTGGCATGTTATAAAATCAACCACCTAACTCCGCGTAGAGTAATGGTTACTGAGTCTAATCTGGTTGACCATTACCACTAATTTGACCCTCACTGGATGTCCCATACAAAATTCATCATTAAATAACCCAATATGAGTTGGCATGTTGTAAATCAACCAGTCAATCCTAACACCCTTTTTTATTTGTTCTTTTTTTTGTGTGATTTTTTTTTCATTCTGTTAATATTTTTCTTTAATTTACTTCTACCCTCTTGTACTTTTTTCTTTCTTTCTTTATCATTTTTTACTGTTCTTTTTTAACTTTTGACTTTTAAACTTTCTTTGCTAATTCATTTTTCTTTATATATATATATATATATATATATATACTGTTGCCTCTTTTTTCTTCAGCTAATCTTTTTTATCTTTTTATTGTCATTCTTCCCTTTTCTTCTCTTTTCCATATTTTGCTTCTGCTTTATTCCTGTTTTCTTCTTCTCTTTCCAAATTTCTTACTTTTTTCTTTCTTTATTATTTTCTTTATAATTTGCGTCATGTTTTCTTTTTTTCTTTTATTTCCTCTTTTTCTTCCCTTTTTATCATTTCTGTCTTTGTTTTTCTCTTTTTTTCTTCTGACCTCTTACAGCAATTTCTCTATTATGCACTTCTTCTTCTTCTTCTTCTTCTTCTTCTTCTTCTTCTTCTTCTTCTTCTTCTTCACTTTAATATTTTCCCTCCTCTGTTTTTTTATGCTGGAAATTGAATATATCTTCTTGGATTAAAAAAAAATTAAATCTATTCATTTGATTTTGTTCCTTAAAATTGAATTTTCATTTTTTTTGTTTCATTCACATTTTTTCTTTGATATGTTCTTTTTCCATTTTGAACACTCAACAGAAGAAAAATAATTGAGAGGGTGAAGACTGTTTCTATTTTTAGAAGCAACTTTTTAGAATGGTTGTGATTTTCTAAAAATAGGACAAACCAAAATCACATGAAAATGCCTCACAAAAAAAAGAATTTTTTCAAAGATTATATTTAGCGTCTGATACAGAAAGTATTTATTTTCCTTTCTATTTCTTATAAAGCAAACATTTTCATGACAAGTCAAACTGATCAAAAGAATAAATATTCCTTTTTAAGATCTTTAAAAATATTAACACATTTTTTACGGAACTTTCATGTAAATTGTATCACCTCACTTGCTTATTTCCTTGATCTTGAGGTTCTTGACAAAATCCAAAGATGGATATGCAATGTGATAGGTCATGACCCGGCATCTCAACTTCAGCCACTTTCTCATGGATGTGATGCGGCTTCCCTCTGTCTTTTCTACAAATATAAATACAAATATTCAAACCAGCCTGGAGAGTGTTGAGCTCTATCAGGCTGTCTTGGCCATGAAACACCCCCTGCTATTGCTGCAGTACCTGTGGTGCCTCTTAGACCCTCAGAGGTTATAGGACTTGAGATTGCATAAATATCTTAAGCTTATCTCTTTGAAACAAAAAAAAATTAACTGAGAATTCATAATAAATTATAATGAGTTTTATAAAATGAAAGGAAACAGATATAAAACAAGTAATGTAATCAATTTTTTTGATACATTAAAAAAAAACTGTTAGAGAAATACTCAGTACTAGTTAAAAACCCATCCTACAGGCTCAGTTTTAAGCTAGTTCCCGCAGAAAGCTGAAATAAAGCCTTTGGCCCCAATAATAAAATATCAATTTTAACTGTACAACTAGTATATTTATGGAATCAAAAGTGATTTGAAAATTATTGCCCTCATGGACTCTTGCATCAAATTTGCTGAAGCTTTTAAAAGTAACTCCCTAAAATACATTCAAACAGAGACATATGGTCATACTGCCTGAAAGTAACAAATGATGTTATTGTCTGCTTCCATTAATGTTAGTAGTCATAGAAAGCATATTTGGAGAGAAAAAGAGAGAAAGGTAAATCATAAGAGATGGAATACAACCAGTAATTAAGACTGGACCTTTCAGTGTGAAAAGACAGTTTATAACAAACAAATAATAAAAAAGAAATGTACAAATGTGGTTTGTCTATATTATAATTTTATTGTTTGAAATAATCTCCAAAACATTTGCTCCACTAAGTCATATTGGCTAATTGTTTTCATGAAGGACACAACCTCTTGCCAAGCTATTAGGTTCATCCAATATACCTCTACATCCATTGGTAAAAATTCTTCTTATTATTAGTAGTAGTAGTAGCAGGCATCCATTTATCTTGCAAGATAATGGTAGTGCCCTGTTTAGTTGAAAATCAGTCTTGTGGTGAGCAGCATCTGAAGTGGTTTAGCAGTCTGATCTTTGCATGGCAGACTTTTCTGCAAGTGTGTCAGAGAAAAACTGGAATGTGGAACAAAGGTTTGAGATTACTCCCTCTGTTTCTTGCATTGTCTTCTAACCTCTAGCTGATGGTTTCACTTGTTCATGCCCTTCATGACTCCTTGACTAGCATAGCACTATCTGCTACAATCATCTGCTAGTTGTTCCCACTTACCTGCTGGATGGTGTCCCATGGCCATCTTGATGTACATGATGTCTTTTGGTATACAACTTTTTTGTTATCAAATGAATGACTAAAAATTACTGTTAAGAAACCAATTTACATCTATTTCTTTAACCAGATTGCATGTTTCTCATTTATGATGTCTGCTTAGAGATAATATTTACACTATTTACATTGTTCAGACTATACGTCTTTATTGTACGCTCTGAACCAAACCATTTATTTCACCCCTGGGATAGATTGTCCTTGTTCCATGTGCCATGCCTTTTCTGGATTTCCCAGTTTCAGTTATTTCCCTTTAGTAACACAACTCTCCAAATTTTTGTTCACCTCCGCTGTGACCAGGAATTGAACTCACAATGCTTTTGGTAAGTCATTGCGTTACTTCAACCAACACTTTTATCCACTGGGGCCAGAGTGTACAATGGCCAAAACATCATGAATATAGCAACAAAGATGAGGACAACAGTCCAAACAATGTAAATAGTGTAAATAGTTACAATACCTCATCTCAGAAATATAGACTGTGAATATGAAAATAAAGATGAGGACAACAGTCCAAACAATGTAAATAGTGTAAATAGTTACAATACCTCATCTCAGAAATATAGACTGTGAATATGACAATAAAGATGAGGACAACAGTCCAAACAATGTAAATAGTGTAAATAGTTACAATACCTCATCTCAGAAATATAGACTGTGAATATGACAATAAAGATGAGGACAACAGTCCAAACAATGTAAATAGTGTAAATAGTTACAATACCTCATCTCAGAAATATAGACTGTGAATATGACAATAAAGATGAGGACAACAGTTGGAACAATGTAAATAGTGTAAATAATTACAATACCTCATCTCAGAAATATAGACTGTGAATATGACAATAAAGATGAGGACAACAGTCCAAACCATGTAAATAGTGTAAATAGTTACAATACCTCATCTTAGGAATATAGACTGTGAATATGACAATAAAGATGAGGACAACAGTCCAAACAATGTAAATAGTGTAAATAGTTACAATACCTCATCTCCGAAATATAGACTGTGAATATGACAATAAAGATGAGGACAACAGTCCAAACAATGTAAATAGTGTAAATAGTTACAATACCTCATCTTAGAAATATAGACTGTGAATATAACAATAAAGATGAGGACAACAGTCCAAACAATGTAAATAGTGTAAATAGTTACAATACCTCATCTCAGAAATATAGACTGTGAATATAACAATAAAGATGAGGACAACAGTCCAAACAATGTAAATAGTGTAAATAGTTACAATACCTCATCTAAGAAATATAGACTGTGAATATGACAATAAAGATGAGGACAACAGTCTGAATAATGTAAATAGTGTAAATACTTACAATACGTCATCTCAGAAATATAGACTGTGAATATGACAATAAAGATGAGGACAACTGTCCAAACAATGTAAATAGTGTAAATAGTTACAATACCTCATCTTAGAAATATAGACTGTGAATATGACAATAAAGATGAGGACAACAGTCTAAACAATGTAAATAGTGTAAATAGTTACAATACCTCATCTTAGAAATATAGACTGTGAATATAACAATAAAGATGAGGACAACAGTCCAAACAATGTAAATAGTGTAAATAGTTACAATACCTCATCTCAGAAATATAGACTGTGAATATAACAATAAAGATGAGGACAACAGTCTAAACAATGTAAATAGTGTAAATAGTTACAATACCTCATCTTAGAAATATAGACTGTGAATATGACAATAAAGATGAGGACAACAGTCCAAACAATGTAAATAGTGTAAATAGTTACAATACCTCATCTTAGAAATATAGACTGTGAATATAACAATAAAGATGAGGACAACAGTCCAAACAATGTAAATAGTGTAAATAGTTACAATACCTCATCTCAGAAATATAGACTGTGAATATAACAATAAAGATGAGGACAACAGTCTAAACAATGTAAATAGTGTAAATAGTTACAATACCTCATCTAAGAAATATAGACTGTGAATATGACAATAAGGATGAGGACAACAGTCTGAATAATGTAAATAGTGTAAATACTTACAATACGTCATCTTAGAAATATAGACATATGTTAAAGATAGTAGTTTGGTTGGCTTCATGCCTTTAACCAATGTTCTTAATATTATGTATCTTTTCTCTCTGTTTACATTCACAAAACCATCTTCTTCAAATATTTTTCTTTGCTGGTTCATCCAAATTTTTCTTCTTAAATCCAATTTGTTATCTTGTTTTAATCTTGCCAAATTTTTTCAAATTTATTTTTTGATTGTTCTTTTCAACTTTTTTTACAACTTTCAAAGTTGTTTTCCTGTTACTCATTGATTTTACAATATCTTTTTTTTGCTTTTCGGATTTTATATTTCTTATGACCCATGGAAAACTTTATTGATCTGAAATTAAAAAGTAAATATTAATAACAGTCTTATATATTTATTTGCAATATGGTGAATAACTCTCAAATTGCATAATAAAATCTCAGATCACAAAATAATTTATTGTCTATATTACTAATAAAAGTAGAAATCATAAGTTGATTTTTACATAATATATTTACCAAATATATCATGAAAATTATGTGGAGGCATGGTTGATTAATGGATAATGGCTCACATTGAGGAATCAAAGAGCTGAGTTTGAATTTCAGTAGAGTTCATTTACATTTACTTACATGTAAATATTCTTGGGAAAAGTATGAATCCATTTTTCTTCCCCAATCTATAGTTAAATAGTAGAACAGATTCAGTCTTATAGCATTGGGTAGCAACCAGTTTAAGTGAATGACTACTCTGAATTCAAAACCTGAGTGTTCAATTGGTTGGCAACTACACTGGTCCTCCCACCAGGAGGAGGGTAAGTGGAACCCCAACAACATTAAAAAAAGAGCTGTTAAAGGAAAGATGAACTTCTTAGAGTCAATAACCATCTATTCAAACTATGGGTTAAATAGCCTCACTAATCCACATTTATATCCCTGAGGAGCTCAAGGGTATCAAGGAGGAGTTCCTACCACAAGAATGAGAAGGCCCTGCATTTTGATTTTACCAATATCAATTGGTTAATACCAGTTATTTTATGAAAACATTGCCCTGTACAATAAAATCTGACATATATCTTTATTTTTACCTCCATTAAGCCTTTTTAAGATAAACAGAAATGATGTTTGCTTGCTAAGTATCTTTCATAAAATAAACAAAGGGC